AACTGCATGTACAGTGGCGTGCTCGATCGGTCCCCGAGGGCGATGTCCGTGATAGGACCCCGGTCTCGGACGGCGTAAGATATCGATTTTCTCGGCGAGCGCGAGAATCTCGTTGAAATTCGAGAGTCCGCGTAGCATGATTTCGTGCGAGATGTCCGGCTTCAGCCCTCCAACGTAACGGTCCACCCGCTCCGCTTCGTGCATATAGCCGACTTGCTCGCATAATGCGAGAAAATCACTCGTGTAGTCTTGAACCGACCCGAGCTGCCGCCAAGTACGCAGTCTCTGACGCGCTGAAATAGAAGCTGCGATCAGCTCGAAGCGCGCCCGAAGCCCTGCGCACCACGCATCCCACGTGCTGTATTGGGCGGTTTCGCAGAATGAACTCCAGGTGACGGCTGGACCCGTGGGCCCTTCCTCTTGCGACGGTGGCTCGTAGGCGCGTGGCGACGTCACGATGACTCGCCACCAGTCCATGGCGGGGCCCCTCAGCAGCGAAACAGCGTAGCGAATCTTCGCTGCGTCCGACTCGACGTAATTCGCGTCGAAGAAAACGTTCATCGTGAAGACCCACGAATGAACTGTCGGACCTCCACGTTGGCTCGGGTCGAAACAGGGCGGGCGCTGCGGCTTGAGTGGCATTGGTGCCATGATGTCGTGGCTGCCACTTGTTGCTGCAAACTCCACGTGCCGACGAGCTTCGCCAGGCCCACGCGGGCTTGGCGCGGCCCGATTTCTCTCCATGCCAGGCATCGATTAAGCGGCGCCATCACTGGCTGCGCCTGAGCGCTGTCCCACGCTGTCGTTTTGCGTCGGTGTGCCTGATGAGATGACGATCGGTTCTTCTGATTGCGCAGGTGCATTTGCGGGTGGTTGTGATGGAGCTGGTGCATTCACCGTTGATTGTTGGCGGGCGGAGTCATGTTCCGCCGTGAGTGTCGCGATTTCAAGTGCCGAAACTTCGAGTTGGCGCACGAGACGGTCGAGCTGCTCCTGCGTCAATGTCGCAAGATTGATTTTGGCCATGGCGGGGGTGTCGGGCAAACTCAGCGGGAGCCTCTGTCGTGGCCGTGCGTGCTTACGAGAGAGCACTTCGAGCGGCGGTGCTTGTTCACTGAGAGACGTCTACCCCCCCCAATATTTGAGATAGTGGGGAAGAGAAGGTGTGGGTGCGGTCCGAGAGGAGATCGTAGGCTCTGAATACCAAGTGTTACGAGTGCAATTGAACGAGCGAGTGAGAATCGCACTATCGAAGCAATCAATACAGTTGAGCGAAAAGCATGAGCGAAGTTATACAGCGAAGCTAGCGTGGTAACGGTAATGCGGGAAATTGGGGTGCGCTACGGGCCTAGCGCCGAGGTTGGGAATTGTCGAGGCGGAGGTCCGGAGCGCGGGTTACCAACCGAACCGTGAGGTTGGGTCGCATCGTGAACAGTGGCGGGAGTCGTGGTCGAGGCGAATGTCGCGAGCGGGTAACGTTCACGGATGGGTGCCGATGGCGGGAACGGGCATGTACGCGGTAAGCAGGGACGCGAAGTAAGGAAAAGGAATTTTCCTTACAAATTTCCACAAGCTACATGTTCTTCTATACAGGCACACTGAACGGAGCAGAGTGTATCTGCTAGGCAAGTGCTGGTCAATCAACACCGCTGACTGCCATCTCCATCTGCCGTTGGTGATCGCAATAGCTGATCATCACCTCATCTCTCGGGCCACTGTTCAGTGTTCGCAGTCAACGCACCCATGGTTAAATCAAACCGGCAGTGCGAAGTCGTGTTACAGATGTCGTTTTGTGGTCGCACGGAACACGGTTATTTGCGAATAGATTTGTCGAGCTCCTCCGACCCTTACGCTCGGGATTCAGAAATTCGTATGGAAACCATGAACTGGTTTCTTTGTCAGATTGCTAGAGTCATCTCCTTGCGTTGCTAGTCTAGTAGTAGCACTCTTTGTTGCGCTGCGTTCTTCCAGAACGATTTGAATCTAATGAGACTTGTGCACTCGAATCGAAGCAAGGTCAGTCGGATTCGAGGCGACAGTTTAACTTATCAGTGATAGATTCGAGCGAGATCATCATAAAAAGTACATCAGATATCAGTCATTCACCATGCTAGCTGCAGCAGAACGTATGGCGAAAGTAGTGAACTGGCAGCACACGGCAATCGTGTCAGCAGCCCTGATCGCCACCGTTATAATCACAAGTCAATGCTGTAAGCCACGACGCCCGCGTCGCGCTTCTTTCCTCTCACAATCTTTTTTTACCCGCTCATTCATTTAGGACCACAATGCCCATAGTATTACTCTCACATATCCCCTTCAGTACTTCCCATTGTCACTTAGAGAGCAACCCTACTAAATTTCTTGAAGTTTTTTGTTCCTATGATGTAGTAATAACACTCTCATACCACATTTAGTCTCAACGCGTAAATCCCTAACGTTTTCATCCTCATTCCTTTGAACAACTCATATCGGGGATGCGCCGTGCAGACACGGCTTCTTGGAATGGCAGTCCGAGCCGACCATCAGACGACTGCACCATCACTGCCAGTGACCAGCAAGACTCTCAGAAACCCTCGAGATTCCACATTCGGGACTACGGCCTCCAGGGACCCATCCCCTGGACGTACATCCGACCGTCCGTCCGCGATGAGTTCACTGTCAACGGCTCAATCCAAGCCGTTGAGAATTTCCGCGGAATGGATTCGTACGATTCCGGAGCGAAGGAGTTTGTCTGGCCAACCGAACAAATCGACAATTATCGGCGTATGGCGGAGGAGCGAGCCTCGAAAGTTTGCCCTTATGGAGTCAATAGCACCCTATCGTTTTAAGACGCTTTAGACAAGTACCCAGTAGAAGGGAAATCGGTGCTGGTGGTAGGGAGTCAGATCCCTTGGCTTGAGGGGATTCTCTTGGCTTTTAAGGCTGGATCGATCACAACCGTTGATTTTAAAACCCAGGGGTCACAGCTTTCAACCTTAGGAAGGATGGTCGGGAATGACGCCGCGATTGGCCCGCGAACTTTGGTTGTGTCCAGATTGTTGGACGATGTTCGCGTGCTAACGGAGGTTCGCCAAAGTTACCAGGGTTGAAATGCGACATGAACACCCCCACTCATCAGTCGCACAAAGCCCAGAGCGACAACTCACATCAACCCGCCTCACAATTTCATTTTCCAACACCACGCGCGACATTGTTGCGGAGTAAACTACTACGACTACAATTAGCTAGAAAGTTGAGCTCATAGCACAGTATTACGGTGCTATCGTCAAGTAGGTTGAGGAACGGCAGTGATAGCGAACCCAAAGCCACGCCTGGAAACATTGGCACTCGCTGCGAAATCGAATTGACACACTGCACGCCACGAAAACCCCAGTAAGTACAAAAGCTGGCAAGCAGACGATTCCAGTCTCATCCCAAAAATTGCTGTCTCAGGAAGCTACGTTGGGGTATCTTCAGGGTTGCGCGGGGGTTTGTTTTTCAGGAGCTACTTTCACGACAGTGGGAAACATACGTTTCCAGGGTGGTATAAGCTCGGCATGTGTTCTTAGGTTCGGCAAACGTATGTTTCAGGTTATCATAGAGGTAGGATTGAATCTGCGTTTGCAGCAAACAATGCGGCTCTCCCAAAAAGTAGGAACGCTCGAGATTCGTTCGCGACATATCTGGGGAAATTGATGGGGAATGTTACTCTCTGTCTGTGTGGATGCGAAACAATTTCTTCGTCTCCACGTGTCTGCTTCCTGCAAGCTGAAAAAGTTTAAGATATTCCCGTTACGGGCCTCCTCACTACACCGAAGCAAGAAACAATTTCAGAAATGTATCCGATTTTCACATCTATGTTGAGTGGTAACCACGCCAATATCCGACGGCTGACACGTCGACACATGTACGACGATTATGGGTGCTCAGACGCGCGCTATAAGCCACCTCGCGTTTCGATGTACATTGCTACTGGGTTACTACCGTTATTCATTTGTAACACCATCAATATCCCATTTATGATTGCATGTTATAATCGTTTCTTTAATTGGTATATAACGAATTGCCACAATTATAATTTTGAAATATATTAAATAAAACTGAAAACCCACAATTAAAAACACAATATCGAAACACAATTCTTTCAGGTTTCCAAAATAGGTCCACGAATATTTTCCATGCAAATTAGATCAGAGCAACACTCACACCGCCACCCAGTGGCTGTGCGGTATGGCCTAGACCGATGCCATCATCGCTGATGAACACCATCCGACTTTCACGATGGAACGACCACGCATTGTACTCGGGCTTCCAAATTGGCCCTGTTGTTGCTGTCCTTGCGCGAATGGCAGCACGAGCCCAGTTTCTCACTTGGGAATGATAAATCGCGACTTCATCACCATTATCATTATGGCTTTTGGGAAGATCCTTCTCAAACTTGAGCTTAAATTCCACCTGCACAAAATAAACGTTTAAAATCAGAAACCACTCTCATTCAATGACAAAAAACATTACAAAAGAGCATGAAGTACAACACAAAGGGGAACTTACCCCCATTAACCAGTACGCGATATGGTTCAACTTCAGAATGATGACTGCGTGACCCTCTCGCAGGAACGAAGCGGTGATGGCTCGAATGAAAACGTCGGTAGAGAAAGGCACGCCATCTTTGTTCCTGTTCCATGTCATCAAGCCATGTGATGTCGCGTCTGATTTAGGGTGAGAGATTTGCAATGAAAAGTGCATATAAAAGGATTCGATGGACAGTTCGTTGATGGGAGTGTTGCGACACCTGTGACGGGAGCAGCATGAGCGGTGAAACACAGAGGGCGTATGCTGGAGAATAAACACGGAGGGGATGAATGCAGTTGGGGGGGGGAGGGGTTGCGATCTGTAGGGGAGGGAGAAAAGGAGGGGATGATCCTGGGGGGGTGAGATCTGAAGGGGAGGGGGGAAAGGAGGGGATGAATCCAGGGTGCGGGTGTGATCTGAACGAATCGGGAAGGAAAGAAGGGATGAATTCAGGGGCGGGTGCGATCTGAAGGGGAGGGATTGAAAGAAGGGATGAATCCGAGGGGGGTGGGGGGATCTGAAGGGAGGGGGGGAAGGAGGGGATGAATCCAAAGGGCGGGTGCGATCTGAAGGGGAGGGGGGAAAGACGGGATGAATCCAGGGGGGGTGGGGGGATCTGAGGGGAGGGGGGAAAGGAGGGAAAGAATCCACAGGGCAGATGCAATCTGAAGGTGAGGGGGGAAAGGGTTGGATGAGTCCAAAGGGCGGGTGCGATCTGAAGGGGAGGGGGGAAAGGGTTGCATGAGTCCAAAGGGCGGGTGCGATCTGAAGGGGAGGGGGGAAAGGGTTGCATGAGTCCAAAGGGCGGGTGCGATCTGAAGGGGAGGGGGGAAAGGGTTGCATGAGTCCAAAGGGCGGGTGCGATCTGAAGGGGAGGGGGGAAAGGGTTGCATGAGTCCAAAGGGCGGGTGCGATCTGAATCGAGGGGGGAAAGGAGGGGATGAATCCAAAGGTCGTGTGCGATCCGAAGGGGAGGGGGGGAAGGGTTGGATGAGTCCAAAGGGCGGGTGCGATCTGAAGGGGAGGGAGGGAAAAAAGGGATGATTCCAAGGGGGGTGGGGGGATCTGGAGGGGAGGGGGGAAAGGAGGGGATGAATCCACAGGGCGGGTGCGATCTGAAGGGGAGGGGAGAAAGGAGGAGTTGAAGCGGGTGCTATCTGCTTGCGTGGGAGGGAAAGAAGGGGTGGATGCAGGGGGGGATGCGATCTGAAGGGGAGGGAGAAAAGGATGGGATGAATCCAGGGGGCGGGTGCGGTCCGAAGGGGAGGGAGGGAAAGAAGGGATGAATCCAAATGGCGGGTGCCATCTGAAGGGGAGGGGGAAAGGAGGAGATGAATACAGTGATGCTTTGGGCAGCAGAGGATATGTATGTGTGGTAGTTTGGGAACACTATTAGGGATGTGAAGATGAGTAACCGAATTATTGCAATTACCGTATGCATAGCAAATACATAAGGACTAATGTGGTTGTGTATGATAAAAGAATAAATACTTAGAGGTAGCACGCAAAGCCGGGAGGAACTAGCAAGATGACGGGAGAGAATGATAAATAGGAGTGTGTGTGGAAATACACAGGGTGGGAGGTGAAGAAATGCAAGATGGTGCGAGTTGGCTTACATACCTGCATGATAGGTAGCACGAAACGCCGACATCTCCATCTTCCCGTTGTTCACTCCGGGCTTGCGCACACCGACGGTGGTGTCAATGTTGAATGCCTTGATCACAATGACACGAGCAGGAGCAAGGATGTCGTAGCGATAGTCTTGAAAGAATTTGCGGATGTAGCTTGTCCGAGGCCCGTCAAGTTCATAAACCAGCTCAAGCTGATCATACTGCCATTGCTGGGTAAAGCCCAAGGCCTGACCCACCGCCTGCAGCAATGCTCTCCTACTTGGGTAAAAGCTGATGTCGACGTCGGCTCTCTCCCAAAAAAGTATATCCCTGGCGCGGATCATTTTTACCTGGGGGTGTGGAGTTTGCGATCAAATGTCATGAGTGGGGCATAAATAACAAAGCATGGAGAAATAGAGCCACTAAGGGCACGGGGGAAACAATTGAAAACGGTTTGCATTGCATTGAAAGGGCAATGCGAGCAGGCACATGCATGCAAGCAGCTTAGGCAAGTGGCACATGCAATCAGCACATTCAAGAAGCACATGCCAGCGGCACATGTGAGAACCACATACAATCGGTACATGCAAGACGCACATGCAGGAAGCACATGCAAGCAGCACATGCATCTAGCACATGCAAGCAGCACATGCAAGCAGCACATGCAAGCAGCACATGCAAGCAGCACATGCAAGCAGCACATGCATGCAGCACATGCAAGCAGCACATGCAAGCAGCACATGCAAGCAGCACATGCAAGCAGCACATGCAAGCAGCACATGCAAGCAGCACATGCAAGCAGCACATGCAAGCAGCACATGCATGCAGCACATGCAAGCAGCATATGCAAGAAGCACATGCAAGCAGCACATGCATGCAGCACATGCAAGCAGCACATGCAAGCAGCACATGCAAGCAGCACATGCAAGCAGCACATGCAAGCAGCACATGCAAGCCGCACATGCAAGCAGCACATGCAAGCAGCACATGCAAGCAGCACATGCAAGCAGCACATGCAAGCAGCACATGCAAGCAGCACATGCAAGCAGCACATGCAAGCAGCACATGCAAGCAGCACATGCAAGCAGCACATGCAAGCAGCACATGCAAGCAGCACATGCAAGCCGCACATGCAAGCAGCACATGCAAGCAGCACATGCAAGCAGCACATGCAAGCAGCACATGCAAGCAGCACATGCATGCACTTGCTGCATGAAGCATATGCAAGCAGCACATGCAAGCAACACATACAAGCAGCTGTGGTGACATACCACATGGAATGGGCAGTTTGATTCGAGCTTAGGTTTAGACTTACACGAAGTCCAGTTCTGACGTTTGGGATGGCCTTCATTGCACAGTCCACAGTGCAGGCCCAGTGTTGGTCCTGTGGTGCCACATAGTGCATCGTGAACTGCAAACCAGTTTTGTTGGCAACAGATAGCTGTTTAGCTATCTCTGCCCGAGTCAAGGCTGCCGTAGAACCCATGTACGGACCTGCCACATGTTGAGGGGGGGTCTGCATGTGTGACAGAACACACGGTCAAACAAAATGGGGAAATAGAAGGGGTTGGAAACGCATGGTGTGATCTTTGCTTGCAAAAGGATCGAACACGCATCTCTCGGGAACAAGGGAGCAGCGTCGTGACCATCATGGTATGCAAACGACATAAGTCATCATGTTGCTCTTACAATGGTTAGCGTCTGATGCAGGCGGAATCTAATATTGGAGATGATAGTAAGTCATGCTATTCACGGCTAGGCTTACCTGGGGGGGGTGTGGGGCACTCGTTAATGGTCCAGGGGCAGCTGCCTCGGTCCGAACAATGCTATCCACTCGGTTGGTGTCATTTCCGGATGCACCGCTAGAGGATCCCGGAGAACGCCGGCGAAGGAGCTGGTTCTCGTTTTCCTTCTCTTTCAGCTTACGCTTCAACTCGCGGATCTCCGCCATATGGTCATCTGCTGCTGCGATTTGGTCACCAACGTGGCCAGGGGCACAATCATCCACGGGGTTGGGGACAAGTACATTCGCTCCAACATGGTGGTACGCCTCTTCCAGCACCACTTCTTCGAAAGCGTTGGCGTGGTGCATGGCTGCGCACGTTGAAGCATAGCCTGGTGGCACATTGGCAATGGGCTGATTAACACCTTGCTGCAGCCCGTAGCTTGGCGAGCCGCTTCCCTGCTGCTGACCAGTGCTGGCGGCGCCAGCACCTTGCTGCAGCCCGTAGCTTGGCGAGCCGCTTCCCTGCTGCTGACCAGTGCTGGCGGCGCCAGCACCTTGCTGCAGCCCGTAGCTTGGCGAGCCGCTTCCCTGCGGCTGACCAGTGCTGGCGGCGCCAGCACCTTGCTGCAGCCCGTAGCTTGGCGAGCCGCTTCCCTGCTGCTGACCAGTGCTGGCGGCGCCAGCACCTTGCTGCAGCCCGTAGCTTGGCGAGCCGCTTCCCTGCTGCTGACCAGTGCTGGCGGCGCCAGCACCTTGCTGCAGCCCGTAGCTTGGCGAGCCGCTTCCCTGCTGCTGACCAGTGCTGGCGGCGCCAGCACCTTGCTGCAGCCCGTAGCTTGGCGAGCCGCTTCCCTGCTGCTGACCAGTGCTGGCGGCGCCAGCACCTTGCTGCAGCCCGTAGCTTGGCGAGCCGCTTCCCTGCTGCTGACCAGTGCTGGCGGCGCCAGCACCTTGCTGCAGCCCGTAGCTTGGCGAGCCGCTTCCCTGCTGCTGACCAGTGCTGGCGGCGCCAGCACCTTGCTGCAGCCCGTAGCTTGGCGAGCCGCTTCCCTGCTGCTGACCAGTGCTGGCGGCGCCAGCACCTTGCTGCAGCCCGTAGCTTGGCGAGCCGCTTCCCTGCTGCTGACCAGTGCTGGCGGCGCCAGCACCTTGCAGCAGCCCGTAGCTTGGCGAGCCGCTTCCCTGCTGCTGACCAGTGCTGGCGGCGCCAGCACCTTGCTGCAGCCCGTAGCTTGGCGAGCCGCTTCCCTGCTGCTGACCAGTGCTGGCGGCGCCAGCAACTTGCTGCAGCCCTTAGCTTGGCGAGCCGCTTCCCTGCTGCTGACCAGTGCTGGCGGCGCCAGCACCTTGCTGCAGCCCGTAGCTTGGCGAGCCGCTTCCCTGCTGCTGACCAGTGCTGGCGGCGCCAACACCTTGCTGCAGCCCGTAGCTTGGCGAGCCGCTTCCCTGCTGCTGACCAGCTATGTGCGCATCAACTGCGGGGTGCTGCCCATAGCTGGCCTGCTCGGCTGCGGGCTGCAGGCCAGAGCCTGCTTGAGCGACTGGATTCAAAACAACAGCGGCGCATGAGCCTTGTGGGAGAACAGGAGCTACACCGCGAAAAGATAGAGTTCCAGGGTCGGCCGAGTTTAGTTCTTGCTGCTGCCCACAGCTGAGCGCAGCGAGACCCTGGTTCTGCCCAGCGCTGGCCTGCGCGACTGCGGACCGCCTTCCAGCGTGTGCTTGAGCGACAGCGGCGGATGCATTTTGTGGAATGACAGGAGCGCTTCCGCGAACAATAGGAGGTGCAGGCGCGGCCTCGGTGAGAGGGGATTGCAAGAGTTGGGAGACCGGCATAAGCTTCAGGCGCCCTGAACACAATAAGTGAACCAGGTCAATAAACGCATTGGGGGTTGGAGCTGCACTGAACGAAATGTTTGAAACCTTGACCAGAGTCACTCATTGTACACTCCGCCTACCGTTTGGCAGATTGGCGGTTTGCGGTACCACCCCCGCTACACTTTCTTCGGCGCCTGCTGCTGCCTGAACCTCTGCGAGGCGCGCCTTCTCGAGACGAACTGCTATTCTTGCGCTCCTCCCCCGGGAAGCAGGCGCGTCGTTTTCGTTTTGGGCTTCGTCATTGTTGTAAAGGACTCTCCTCTACTTTGCAGAACTGGGAATTATTCTAAACGATAGAGCTCTGTCTTAGCTTTCCAACGAGCCGTCACACACGTTGATCGCCTAAGTATCCGCCTAGATATAGGCGTTCACGTATTGGGTAGTGCTCTTGAATGCAAGTATAGAAGCTCTCTGGAATTTGTGTTCGAATGTACCATGTACAAAGAACTCTGGTTTTTAGTATGATCATGCAATACAAAAGCAAACACATTTATAAGAACTGCAAAACGTCGAATCGCACATGTAACCTCGAACCGCGGTACACTCGAATGTTCGAGTAACATCGAAGGGGTGAAATTCGACTCTCGAATTTCACCGAATCGAATTCTCCCTGAGTCTCGATTCTTCTTGTGTTGTCATGTGGCACCAATCGAGTGGGTCTTCCGAAGTCAACCCACACACTTCGTGAAACCTACAGCTCACTCAAGCGGTGAGCACAGAAACACATTCGGTGGGTTGGGGGCATATCAATTGCCCCACCACCGTTTGCTTCTAACTCACGCGACCTCCAACAGTCATGCTATACTAAAGGAATGGCACTGCTGAGGATCACGTGAGATGGCACTCCCCACATCTAAACTAACAGAACTGCTTGTAGGCTGCGCAAAATTGCGACGACAAACAAACAACGGAAGTGAGGGACCAGACGAGGCGATCAGAGTCTCTGACTCATGCATCACGAGTGGTGTGATGTCGAAGTTGGGAAGGTCGGGCGGTTAGGGGCTGTTTGTCTACACTCTTGAACCGTTCTGTTCCCCCTTGAACCGTTCTATACCGTTCGTCATCCCCAGGATGCAAACTGTTGTTCCATCAGTGTTTATTCGAATGCCCAAACTTACTGGAGAGACAAACCGCGGTCGAAAACGGCCGTCGATTCGGCGGGGCAGCCGCATAGCCGTAGATAGTGAAAATATGTGGTGCGCTTTTTCTTGTTGTAAAACTGACGTCTATAAAATCATCCTCGCTATCACATCAAGTGTTGTGCAACCTGGACAGTTTTGCAATTTGAAATTGGGTAGGTTTGAGAATGATTTTGCACCTTAATGAGGTGCCAAAAGCAGTCTGACATGCTGTGTTTTGCATATCCCACGAACGTTGTCAAACAAACCGAAACTGGCTGCATACGATGAGTGCGGTACGAAGTGTACACTTGACTAGACTTGTACTTTAGACGCGCACATGAATGCGATTCACAGAAAGAAATAATAAAAATAATTAAATAAATAGACAAATAAATAAACCCTGAGCGATCCTTCGATCAACGCGCACATGAATGCGATTCAAACTTCCGCTGCAACACTACTCTGCGATCAACCCTGAGCGATCCTTCGCTAAGTCCCACTTGGGATTGTAACAATACCTGAATGATTGTGGTGGATATGTGTTACAAGTGCAATTGATCAAGCGAGCGAGAATTGCACTATCGAAGCAAAGGTACAATGAGCCAAGGCATGAGCGAAGAATATATGGCGAAACCACAGTGGTAACGGTAATGTGCGGGAAATGGGGTGCGCGACGGGCCTAGCGTCGAGGTTGGGAAATGTCGAGGCGGAGGTCCGGAGCGCGGGTTACCAACCGAACCGTGATGTTGGGTCGCGTCGTGAACAGTGGCGGGAACAGTGTCAAGGCGAGTGTCGCGAGTGGCAACGGAGTACTGTTGGGTGCTGTTGGCGGGAACAGTGGTGTACGCGCTGAGCAGGGACACGAAGTAAGGAAAATGAATTCTCCTTGCCCTACCCCCTCCCCCCCCCCCCTAAGGAGGCCCTCCTTACGATAGCGCGTGTACATCCCGGAAATTTCGGCTGCGCAGGTACTCTGTGAGGACGGGATGGTTTTCCATTCTGTTTAGGGGAACCTAGTAGTCCTCAGTGGGCGTTCGGTCTTTCCAGCGGATCAAAAATTCGATCCGACGAGCTTCGCGTGGGTCACGCACTCGGTGGCTCAGAATCTTCTCGGGCGTGATGATTGGTTCTGTCGGCGGTCGTGTCATGCTGGCTGGGCGATTGCGAGGCAGTTGGCTAGTGGATGGCACGTAAGGGCGAATCAGGCTGACGTGGAATGACGGGTTGACGTATCAGTCAGCTGGGAGGAGGAGGTGGGCGGTGACGGGTGTGATCATTTGGCATATGCGAAATGGCACGCAATATCGGGGGCGGAGTGTTGGGGTAATGGGCAGGCGGAGGTTCTGGGTGTCGAGTAAACCTATGTCGTCGGGTTGGTAAGTGACAGGTCGGAGGTGGCGTTCGGCGTTGCGTTTAGCGATGATGTTTGTTTCTTTTGTTGCGACTGCTGCTCGGGTCCGTGCTGCCTGTAAAACTTCGGCGAACTGATGCGCGCGTGGCTCCGGGTTGTCGGGATTTGGGGTCATGGGTACTGTGGGGTCTTGTCCGTAGTTAAGATAAAACGGTGACTGTTGGGTCATGGCGGACGGCGAGTTGTTGTATGCGAATTCAATGAGCTGCAGCTGCTGTTCCCAGGTGGTCGGGTCGTCGCACGTGGAATTGTGAGTATCTCCATGGTCTGGTTTGTCCGTTTTGTCTGTCCGTCAGTCCAGGGGTGGTATGAAGATTTAAACTGTAGTCGCGTGCCGAACTGCTGTCTCAGGTTCCGCCAGAAGTTGCTGGTGAATTTTGTGTCACGGTCGCTGATGATTGCTGCTGGTATCGCGTGCATTCGAACGACGGTGGAGATAAATAGGCGGGCTGTTTCTTCGGTTGTGATCGATTTCTTGCAGGCTGCGAAGAGTGCCATTTTCGTCAGGCACATATACGGTCTTGTCGCCAGGCTTATTGCACTAGATGTCAGGTAGAACACATGTCAACGAGTGGGGAAGGCGGTGTACCATCGAGCACGGTGTCAACGTTCCGTAGGTTGACTCCGCGAAAACCTCTTGAGGCGAAGTTCGCACACATCTGCGACCTTTGCAGCCGAGCAGCATCCGGCATGTTTGACGCTACTCCGTCGAACAGCGTTTGGCTTTTTCGCGCAGACCTCGCTCCCGGACTCGTCGTGTAGAACCCCTCTCCGGACTCGCCGACGACCACTGTCGTCAACCAGTGACTTCCGTACAAGGTGTTGACCAACTCTCGTAGACCTGCTCGACCATTTCCTCCGTCGACTAGCAGAGGTATACACAACGACCACTTCTTCAATTGACTACGCGTCGACTGCAAAGAGTTTCTATACACCAGTAGTGAGCTAGACTACGGGGGTTGGCACGAACTACCAGAGGTGATCCTAGCTTTGCTTAGTTCCTTAGTGCTTGCGCATTCACGTGAGAAATCGGCAAGAGTTTCCACAAGGCAAAGTCGAAATTAAAGAATGTTTGAACAAGCAATGACAACAATGACTACATCAGGCACCTAGCAACCCTGCAGCTAGCCTGGTCGACCACCAGCACAGCTCGGTCGACCGCCTGCCAGCGTTGCGTGGAGGAGCCGCGCCAGCACTGCAGAAGGGCGACTTGCCAACCCTGCAGGTCGACGGCGTGCCAACGCTGCAGCAGAGCGGCTGTCCAGCGTTGCCCCGTATAATACAGCAGTGCGCACGCTCGCAGGTGCACGCAGACGATTGGCCCGACGTGCCCCGTTGGGCATCCGTCGGCTGTTGTCTGCGTCTGACGAGCCACATCGACTTCGGGATACCTGCCCACAGTCGCCTTCGCCATCGCGACCTCGACGACGTTCGCGTGCCCCCAGCAAAACTCGACGAGCAGGTTACCCGGTCGACCTGGTCGACCCCCAGGTGCTCTGCTCCGCCGACCTTCCGGTCGAACTGCCCCTCCTGGTCAACGGCCCACCCGTCGCCCAGACCAGACAGTTGCAGCTGTCGAGCTCCCTGGTCGACAGCAATACCACAGCAGTCCCCTGCAGCTCGACGAAGCCTGTCGAGCACCCCTCCCACTGTGAACGGTCGGCTGCTACTCCCGTACATCCGACCAAGTCGTCGGCGCTGCCCAAGCGAGGGCGGGGCCAACACTCCACTCCCGTTAACATCGACAACGAGAACTTCTCGATTGATTCCGTCCTCTTACTAAGGTGGAGAGCCAGAGTCGTCGCTGGTGAGAGCCAGAGTCGTCGATCGACAACAGAGTCCTCACAAGCCAGCAGCGGTTGTTCGTCCAAAACTGCTATCGGGGCTTTGCCAACTTTGCGCGCACTGTTTCACCAAACCTCGCACTGGTGGAGCAGCCGACTTGGCTGACGCTTCGGGACTAGCCCGAACCTCGCGCCAGCGTAGCATTAGCTAGCACCCCAACACTGCGTTACAATCTGCCTATTTTCGCGTATAAGTATTCGATCATGGCCTCGCTCATACTTTGTACTCATTGAACACTTTAGCGCAATCCTCGCTATCTCGATTCATTGCACCCGTAGCACACTCAATTCGATGCCATGTCTTTTCGTAACCCTGTAAGGGTGCATTCCTGGCTTCGGGCCATCCGTGGTTTGGGTCTTCCCACGCCAGGAATGCACCATAAAAGTGCACTAGATATGATAAACGGAAAGCACCATGTATTTGTAAACGGGAAAATATAATGGCGAATGAAATGTACAATAGGGTGTAGGATCCTATGGTTGGGAAGAGGTGAGGGCGAGAGGCACGAAGCACTTATTGGCTCCCATTCTTCATAAAGATCTCTGATTCCCTGCAAACCTGGATTGCTGCCTAATTCATGC